TATCGATGCATGCGCGCGTCGTAAAGATATCCTTTAAACTATATTTTCGCGTTTTTCACATTTACGCTTTTAATATTTCATGTTCTTAATATGCTTGTTTGAATATTTTACATTATTATGAAGATGCATTCAAAGTTTTAGAAGACATGAATGAGCATGGGTACCTTCCTGACCTGTACACATATAATTCATTAATGTATGCATGTGCACATAAGGGTGATATACATACTGCTAGAAAATTGTTGATATCAATGATGCAAAGGTTTGATTATATTCACTCTGATTTATTAAAAATTATTTTCAGAAAAAAAAAAATTTACTCTTAATTTTTTTTACAAGTGCCCGACGGAACCCATCATTGACACCTAATTTAGCTACATTTTCAAATTTATTTTTGGTATATTCTGCTCATAAAATTTCTAATCAACCTATAAAACAGCCAAAACAGGAAAATAAAGAGCCTCCACATAATACATTATCTGTTCCCACTGTGGAGGAAGACAACGTTGAGAACAATCAAATTGAAAGTAGCCAACATGATGATAATGACGAAAATCATAATATATTTGTTGCAGAAGAAATAATTAATAACACCGGAAGTTTAGTAGAAACCAGCACTGAGAATATGCTATCAAAATATAAGGATCATTTACTAGTTATTGGATCTGATATCTATCCACTATTACCAAATCCTCCAGCAACACAAAAACAAATTCTTGTGGAATCAACTATTTTATTTAAATACGTCCTTTCCATTGTTGAATCTTCCGATTCTACATCTTTACCAACCACAAAATTTTCACGTATAACGCCAGTATTATTTAATTCATATTTATCCGTATTTGAGAAGAATGCATATTTTCACAGAACTTTGGACCTTTATCGGAATGCTATACCAAAATACAACATAGAGTTAAATAGCTGGATATTTACAACAATGCTGAGATTATGTTATAAGCACAAGAAAACAGAAGAGGCTTGGAACATTTGGCAAGATTGGAAAACTTGGTGGAAAGATAGAGTGGACGAGATGAATGGATTGAATGAACTTGATCAATTGAAAGAAATTAGAAGGCTTGGTATGACTAAAGAGTTGGAATATAATATTTATAAAGAGATGATTCATATTTTGGCAAGGTAACATTTCATAAAATTTTTTGATTGATTTATAATTATCGCTCAAGTTTGTGCTAACCAAAAAAAAAAAATTTATTTTATTTTAAAAGATGTGATGACATTTGGGGAGCCATAAAACTCTTACAAAAGCTTTCTACCACGCAAGTTCCAAAAATTGAGGATTTTCAATTACTTCGACAAAAGACGATTGAAAGTGAGGATGAATTTGCAGAAAGTAAAATAATGGAATTGTGTTATTTTGATGAAGGAACTCCAAAGACTCGAGTTAAAGAATTATTGGCCAGAAAATGGAAGGGTGTCAATGTTTTACCCGGACAGGTTGGAAGACGAGTGTTAGAAAAAAAATTGGGAATTTATGATGGAAGAAATAAATGGGGAAAGAAAAAAAGCGTGAAGGGTGGTAAGGTAAAAAAGGTTGTGTCTAAAAAAATGTAGTTATTGAATTTCTGGCATTGCCAAAAAACTTTTTTTATTAGAAAAAAAAGTTTTTTAATCAAATAATAATAAATGGATGTATCAGAAAAAAACTTAATAATATTTCGGTAACATTTGATTTTGAAAAAATTGAAGCTAATTTCATAAAGTTAATATAATGAATCGTAGAGTACCTTCATTTTAAATAAACACCTTGTAGGTATTAAACCGTTTTTTCAGACGTAATCATATCGAAATACATGCATGTATATGATACTGTAAATACAGAAAACAAGTAACTAGTTTCTATACACCACCAAATGAATCTTATTCCCAAGGATGATAAATTTCATTTACAATATTTTCTATATACATTTGTGCATATCCACATAATGTTTTAGAAAGTGGAATTAGTTTTTGACCAGAACAATTTCTAATATATCTCAGCGTACTAAAACTGCCAGATGATTGAGCATATCTAATAATAACTTTGATATATTTAGAATCGTCTTTTGGAAGTTGTAAATATATACCAAGAGTTTCAAGGTATTTACATTTTGCCAAAATATATTGTAAAATATCGGGTGAAATGAGAATAAGAAGATCGAGATGACGAAGTGTATCCGGAAAACTTTCTATATTATTTAAAATATAATTATCCAATCGCTCTGGGGTTGAATCATTGAGAATTAAATGTTCTATATTTAAATTTGCAAGTCGTGAAAGATTTGGAGAATCCGGTCTAATAGATAAAGCCAAGTGTGTTAAATATGGACATTTCAGTATTACGGATAAAAATTTCTCGTCACCGATTTTATCTAAAACTAATTTCCTCAAAGAGCTTCGTACCATCCTCATTAAATATTCAAAGAATAACTCGTTAAGAGAAGCACCTATTAAATGCAATTCGCTAATACGGAGATTGTGAAAACGATTTGATTCTATATAGGTTGAATGATATTTAGTATCATGATAATTGAAAATCTTCAGTTTCTTTAAATTAATACAAGAAATTAATGGATATAATATCGTTATGCTGTTATATTCAATTCCTCCCAAAGATAATTCAACCAAATTTTCAGCTTGATAAGAGAGTTTTAGAAGAAAGTATGCAGAATTTTTAACGTAACATTCAAAATTTCGAAGTTGTATCTGAGAATCTAGTATTTTTACCAAATTTTTTTGTATTCTTGATTCATAAGAACATGAAAGGTTTATATGTAAATGTTCGATATTTCGACATTTCATAGAAATAATGGAAGTTAAATAAGCAATATTGTTAATTTCATGTTCCTCTCTGAAAATTCCAGATATTTGAAAAGTTCGAAGTCCAGAAACTAACTCTTCAAAACCGGTACAAATACTAAAATTTGGTACATTGATATTATCTGAACCTTTAGATACTCTCAAGAAATGTAATTCTTTAGACTGACTAGCTATAAGACTAGTAAATTCTTGGGAAACAAGGCAGATAAATTCAGGATCAGCTCTATTCTTATTGTTCGTAAGCCATCTTGAAATTGCTAAATTCAACATACGATAATCAAGTTTCCTTAAATAACTTGGATAATTGTACTTTGGATTTGAAAGTTTTGGAATGAAAAGTCCATTTTCGCTTAAATAGGTTCGTCTTTCCTCAGGAAGGCATGATATGTATGTTTGAACTAAAGTATCATTCTTGTAGAATATGCAGAATGGATCTTCCCAAAGTAAAGGAATGGCTTGTTCGCACCATTTACGACTTACTGAAGCGCATGAATGCAAAGTTCTTGTATTATCTTTAAGGTATTTAAAGACTTCTTTAAGACATTCATCATCAAGTTGTGGATGAATGTTATTTGGGGTAGTGATATCCTCCAGAAGATCAAAGTTTTGTGATTGACTAACAAAAAAGCTGTAGAACACCTTGATATATTGCGTTAATGAAGGAGGAAAAGCCATTAGAGATTCATCAATATTTTAATATTCGTTGACACGAGAAAATGGAAACGGCTTATTTTTTAAGATTTTGGATTGGATCACAAAGATTCGTAAATGATAATAAATGATCAAGTGATCGATCATATTATTTTCACATTTCCTTTCACAAACACTCATTTGTAATATAAATAGGAATACGTAACGATGAAAGTCCGTCCACTGCGGCTAAATATATCTAAATCATAGTTAATCGCTGTACTGCATAGGATTTAATACGTAGAATAGAAATTATATATTACAAATAATAAATAAATAACGATAAACATATCCTATACATATTGATATGTGCTAACACCTTTCGTATGATGACTCAATTAATACCTCTTTCATTCACTTCTCCAGAATATATGAAACTTTCTTTTTCTTTTAAATCACATTTTCCAGACTGGAAGGTTACCATCTATTCGATTATCAAGGTCAATATGCCTGAACATATTATTAAAAAACACCAAGAATTTAAGAAAAACCAGGGAGTTGATGCGAATGTTTTACAATTATATCATGGAACAAAACATTCTTGTAATATTAAAGAATTGAATTGTGCAGAGATGTTGTGCAAAAATACAGAATGCTGTACCTGTGGAATTGTTCGAAACGGACCTCGGCTATCTTTAGCGAAAACTTGTGAAATTGGAAGTAAATATGTCTTGTGAATGTCACGTGCAGGGATGGGGCTGCAATTAACGAAAGTTTGTGATTATATAAAGATGTTGAAATACTAAAAGTTAACTACCGTGGACTGCTGACTTTATTCAGAGACTATTTAGGGCTGTAAAATTCTGCTTTATGACATCAATTATTTTTACCCCATCAAAAAAACACCCGGATACATTAGTCAGCAGTTTTTGTGGTCTGTCAGAAAAAATTCCGTGATCTCCGAGTTCGGTATCCTTTTACAATACCGGACTAATTATTCCGATCGATTGAGTCGTCAGAAATCATGAGGCCTGGTATTTTTTCTGATAGAAACAATCCACTTCCAAAGTTTAATTGCAGCATTCATCTTTAATCTTAAAAACTAGTAACTGTCAGAGCGTTCAAATTTAATATAATCATAATTCTCGAGATAAACCAATTTTTTTTTTTTTTTTGACCTAAAAGAATTCATCTGGCTAGCACCAACTGCCAATATGTCTCATGAATATACTGGCGTAATTCCTCCACAGAATCAAACAACTTCTAAATACATAAATTGTCGTGCAGTGTTTTTGATGGATGTAGTTACCCCCGAGCAATTTAACGATACGTACTTTGTTAGGTCTGAAGAGGTTTGTCTTAAAATTTTTATATAAACTTAAGTTGTATCATAATTTATAATTTATAATTTATGCATTACTTTGTAACCTTTGCATAGGCTGTTTTACCGCAATATCTTGTCCTTTACGATGCATGAAAGCTGTTGCTTGTATTGTTACGCGACATTTAGATAGTTATATTGGTACTTTGAATTTGCTTAAGCCTGGCTAATTGCATATCAAATTTCCAAATAAATTTTAGTTTATAATTTCGATTTGTAAATGATGCGATGTGACATCACCAAAAATTAAATACTATTTTGATGCTTTATATTCATATAAATTTCATTAAGAAAAAAAAAAAATAAAAAGTAAAAAATAAAAAATGACAGGGGAAAACAAAATTATTGAAATGTACAGGATTGACGAAAAAGATACCCGAATAGAAGGAAATGGTGTTTCACACTCTCAAGAAAGACAACCAGTTCCAGAAGAATTGATCACTCTAGAGAAGTTCCCCTTAGAAAAAGTTTCGGACAAAATGCCAACAAGTATCGTTTCACACTCCATAAATTAAAATTTTAGTACCCAAAAATTATACTGCACTAATTATTTTTTGTTTACGGATATATGCAGCCGTATTTTTAATACGTATGCATGTGTGAATTTTGTGAAAAATTTGCCTATTAGTATCAAAATTTCCTATTTGTAACCTTTGATCACAAGCGGATTATTTGCACAAAGCTATAATATCAAAATTTTTTTCATGAAAATTTAAGGGTCCTTTTCAAAATTACCGAGTTTCCGATTCCAAAAGAAAAACATGGTCAACCTGGGGTTATTGGCGCTGGTCAACAAACAGCGACGGCCCTTAATCTTTTCTTTTGTTTTGTAATTATTGTGTTGGGTGCTATCCTAGCAGATCAATACTTGTGAAGATATAAGACAATTCTAATCTTTTCTTTGGTGTATACCGGTTTAATTGTTTAACGCTTACAACAATTCCACCCACGATCGAACCAAAGCTTCTTTACTCGGCCTTATAGTCTCAATGATTATTATCGGGATCGAAACCAAGGTATTTTAGAATATACAAAAGTTTCGTATTAAAATATAAACTGCCTTTATTGTTGGAAGTCAAATTGTGTTACTATGCAGGGATGTTAAATGACCTGAAATGACCCCAATGACCCAAATGACAAATGACTAGTCATTTGTCATTTTAAAGTTCAAATGACTTTAGAAGGTCATTTAACATATGTTAGTTAATATTCTAATCCCTTTTAACCAATCAGAATTGGACACCAAGCAAAATTAAATTTTATTAAAAATATAATCAATAATCGTAGCTATATATCAAAATCAAAACTTTACTAAATCAATTAATATTTATACCTTAAGTAAAGCTGTTCAGGATAATAAATTGCATATGTTCTGAAATTTTTATAAATTGAATAACTTATTATTAATTCACTTCCACATCTTATGTTTATATAAAAAATTTTAATTTTTCATATAAACGTAATATGCGAAAGTGAATTAATAAAAAGGTATTCAATTTACATGAACATTTCAAAATACACGCAATTTATTATCTCGAACAGCTTTATTGAAGGCATAAATATTAATTGACTTAATAAAGTTTTAATTTTAATATATAGCTACGATTATCGATTAGAAAAGTAATGAAGTTCGATAACTTTTTTTATGAGTAATTCAACCAATAAAATTACTTTCTATGTAAATGACCCAATGACCTAATGACCCAAATGACCTAGTCATTATTTGATGACTTGAGGTCATTTGAATTTTGATCAAATGACCAGGTCATTTACCCATCCCCGTTACGAGTAGATTAGAGGGTCCACCAAAATTCAGCAAATCGGCCCGAATTTGGGTCGGAATAGGCCGGAACTAATCAATTTTTTCTAAAATCACCCAAAATTTTACTAATAAAGTGGTAGTCTATGTACTAAGTAAAGCTGCCCAAATGATAATTTTGCTATAATATAGTCGGCCGGTATTATTGCTTAATGCCACTTTGCTCCGACCCATCTCTGACCCAAATTCGGGCCGATTTGCTGAATTTTGGTGGACCCACTAATCTATTCCCTGTTACTACGATATAGGCTAACTTTCTCGTGATTGGCCAATTTTTTTCAATTGAATTTATACAGTTTAAAGTACTTTTACCCCCTAA